TACCTCCTAACACTAGATGTCCTGGTGAAGGGGCTCATGGAAGGACCACTGAAGACCATCCTCTACGCTGACGACATCGCCCTGATAGCGGATAGCAGAGAGGAACTTCAAGCCAAGGTGCAGAAATGGCAGAAAGTCCTGGCAGAAGGTGGGCTCGGCTGAATGTCAAGAAGACCAAGTTCCTGAGCTCCGAAGAGGGTGCAGAGCCGATCGTGGACGGCCATGGTGAGACCATCGAAAGAGTGGAGGACTTCCGATACCTTGGGAGCGATCTGGCAGCCGACGGTAGTGTGGATCAGGCAGTGAAGGCTCGGGTCAACGCTGCATGGATGAAATGGAGGGAGTCCACTGGAATCCTCTGCGATCGAAGGTGCTCCAGAACGCTCAAAGGGAAGGTGTACCGGACAGTGGTAGGCCTGCGATGCTATACGGCAGCGAGTGCTGGCCCCTGAACAAGAACCACGAAAGGCAGCTTCACTCCGCTGAGATGAGGATGCTGAGGTGGGCCTGCGGCTGGACGCGGCTGGACAGGGTCAGAAACGAGGATCAGAGCGGTCATGCAGACTGCCCCTGTCCAGCTGAAGGTACGGGAACAGCGTCTGCGATGGTATGGGCACGTGCTAAGGAGGCCACAGGATCATCCGATAAGAAAGCGATGGACTTCGAAGTGCAAGGCAAGCGACCGCGAGGAGCCCCAAAGAAGAGGTGGAGAGACGTGATCAAGAAGGACCTAAGTGAAGTCATGGCCACAGCAGAGGATGCCCTGGACAGAGCAAAGTGGCGACGACTGACAAAGACAGCGGACCCTGCGACTGCGCGGGACTAACGCTAGGGAGAAGAAACGTCTGTGTGATGCAGCTAGGTCCAGCAGCCCCGCCAAAAGGGCTGGGTTGCTTAACCCAGGGAAGAGTCGCGTGTGAGTATACGTTTGTCCGAAATTCATAGCGCGCTTCGCTGCAACGATGGAAGGCTGCAATTATAGTATTACGTAGAAGTCAGGACGGGAACATATTTGGTGGGGTCAGAAAGTGATAACGTCGGAGGTCAACGGCCATACAACACTACTCCTACGTGCCTGCTGCTGACGGTTTCTATGCTTTTTTCGCCACAGTGCATTATACTGCATCCCCGCTTCTACTTCAGAGCCAGTTCCAATCTTACCGTAATCCCATGGATTAGTGGAGAATCGTTCCTCTTTTGGTTGAGTTTGTAAAGGAAGTACTCCTGAAAGTCTCCAAGAATGCCAGAATCGGCCACAAAAGGCATTCCTTGACATTTACAATGTAAACTGCCCTTCTTTCAGACTTACAACTTCATCGTCGGAGTGAGCTATTATCATGATAAGGAGAAACTGCAATTAAAACAGGGTCTACTAATGAAGCAGATTCTTGCTATACTCAAGAAACGATGGAAGGATTGGGATAAAAATCTCGAAATTCCAAATCCGAAATTTATTGCTTACTCAACGGTATCAATGTGGAGATTGGATTCCCTGATATAATTCTCTTCACAGTATTTATTTTTAGCAAGACTGGATGGTGATGGCCTTCCTAGATGCCCTTGGATGTGGTAAACCAGCTCTCAGCGGTACAATACCGGGTTACAATTCTTTGGTGGTGATCGAATTGGTTGATCGTGATGGTGATCCTTTCATCTGGGTAGGTCACACGTTTACACGTCAATTTATGTAATTTGAAGAGCCTGATTGGTCAAAGCGCGGTTCTGACTAAGGCAAAGAGTTCAAGTAAACCTTATAAAAAGCCAATCATGAAAGGCTTGCAGAAATTGCAGAATCATTCCTATTGAACGAGTCAAAACTAATTTTTTCACAACATATCAAGTGTTCTCGGATATTTTCAGGTTTACTTCAAAGACAACAGCATGGATTCTCTTAAAGACCTCACAAAAGCTGTACGTGGATGCAATAGTTCGCCTTGTCCTCTTGAAAAGTTTTTGAAATGTTGCAATGACTACGTGACGGATGACCCGAAACAAGTCTGTGGCCAACAGTCATGATCTCGTATAACTTGTTTGTACAAACTAAACTCATCATTCAACTCTTATTATAGATTTTAAATTAAACGATTACTGACGTAGTAGTTCGTTCAAGTGCGGTTGAAAAATAAACCCGTATTTCCCAATTAGGTTCAGGCTGTCAACGTGTGGGATTCGCGGGAGGTGTTAAGGTGACGGACGCAGTCCCCATCGCTTAGCTTTTCAGTGCAAGTATTGCCTCTTACTCCCGCTGCTCACGGTTGGTATGCCAGTTGGTGGTGTGTTTTTCCTGACGGAGATGGTAATGTCGCGAAATGGTATTTCTTAGAATCCCGGCATCTATATATCTAATTGCTAGTATGTTGTGCTGTGGGTGGTATGTTGTTACGATTCTAGCGCGTTCGCTGCAACGATGGGACGCTGTGATTTTGATGATCTAGGGGAAGGGACATGCATATTTGATTGGTTGTTAGATTTAGGTAACGAATGATAGAGCTGTAGAGATGGAAGCAATTTCACGGGGATTCATTTTCGGCGCGTCCAGTAGCGGTTGGGGCGTTTTGGTGCCAATTGACTAGGGGTGGAGACTAGGGTCAGGAACTGTTTGATGGGGGCCGGAAGTGTAAAGGCTGATTAAGATGCTGATAAGGGCGCGAAATGCAATCACGAATTCACATGATGGGATGTCCCAGCCAGCATGTGAGGGTTAGGTTTAACAAGTATGGTAGCAGGGCGAGGACGGAACTGTACTTGCATGGGACGGAAAGCGATAAGCTGATAAGAGCTGATAGAGGCGCTGAAGTAATTCACGAAGTTCAAATGGGGTTTCAGTGCAGTGAGCATTGGTTTCTGAAAGTGAGATGATGCTTGATACAATGGATGCGTATGCGACGCGGTCACTCGAGCCAGATTCGGATGCACGTTTTTCATTTCAGTACATTTATTTGCGTGTTTCTTAAGCAAATTCGGACGCTCACCTTGAGTTCCGAAAATGTGGTGGATGTTTGGAATGAACGGGTAATGAGTATGAGTTTGTATTTCAACTCATTTGAGTCAAGGGTTATTCGACCGCCGAATTATTCGACAATTAATGCATGGGTGGTTGTTTGCGCCCGTTTGGCTCCATTTCGGGTATCAAGCGAGGAGCAGGCTAAGCGTATTCGTGTAAAATAACTTCTTACCGTATACGTTAACCCGATTTTCCGCCAGATTCGGTGTTTGAGCGCCGATGCAAATGGTGCGGAGTAACTGGTTTTTCTATAAGGAACTCGTAATTTCCAATTGTGATATGATGATACAGTTTGTCAAGTAAAGGATGACCAATTGTGTCATTGACGTTTTAAACGAAAGCGAGCGACATATTTCCCTCCAAATTTCTATAGCCAGCTGTATTGTGGAGCTGTGTTGGGTATTGTTGGGATTCCAAAGAAAGAAGAAACATGAATTAATTCGATCTCTTCTGATTAAATGATATGTATGTTCAAAAGTGATAGCTGTCGCTTGGCTCTTTGCCGGGTATTTTATCATGGTGATGATTAAGTGATTTTTTCTACCTGATTTTTAACCTATGTTCTCAGTGACAGAGCGCGGGCATCCTCAATCATGTTGGTATTTTTTTGAGCTGATTGTATCCTCATATATGCAAAATTGAATTCCTGAGGAAGGCAGTTCCACGACCAAAAGGAACAAAGGTTCGAGTGCAAGATTCTATTGGGCGAGTTTGGAGGACCTTGAGGGTGCGGTGACGACATTGGCAGCGAGATTTGACCTCAGCCCGATCTGGACATGGGCTAATCTTTGGTGCGCTGGACGGTTAGTACCGTAGCGCAACGCGTCGATGTGAACTCGTTCATAGTCTTTCTGAGCTGTTACCTGTTCATGAGTGAAAACCAACGGCCAAAAAAGGACGTCCCGTTTTGCGTTTCTTGACGGATTTCTCTGCTTTTCTCGCCACTGGCGTACCATTGAGCACCACCACGTCACAATAAGCCCTTCTTGAATTCCCCGTGATCGCTGCCTTTTATAGTGCCATTTTCGATGATGAGAAGGATGTTCCAAATGCGCTGTGCACTGCATCCCCCTAGAACACTAGCACCCGCTGAACCATTGAATATGTCGTTTCATGGTAATTCTGATGGAAACATGGAGTATTCGCTCTCACAGTAATCATTTGGGGCCAGTAACACAACTCGCTTGACTCCAAATTGGGCAGAAACTTCGAAGCCAGATATTCTAAATATTGGGTTGACCCATAATTTCTGGCCGATTTTGGTTCAAATTCAATTTTCAATATGTCAAATTAACTTCATATCGAAATAAGTTGATATGTTGAAGAACACATCAGGACCTTCAGCCAGGATGTTTCAGAAGCTCAAATGCGCAACGGGATAATTAAGTAGGAATCAAAATAGATCAACGACCAAACCCAACGATTATGCCTTACGACAATTTTAAGAAGAACCTTGCAAGGAGCGCGGTAGGCAAGATCAGCGCTACGTTTGCCCCAGTCTTTGCTACTGATCGGGCACTGAGCTATTGGCTCAATAGCATCGGCAAAGCGATAGGAGCTGCAAAGTTCGACCTCATCATGGACCTCCAGTCACTTTCGATGAGGACCCCTTGCGCAACGAATAGGAAGTGCATCCGACGCTATTAGCAGGAAACTGTAGCAAACATCTGGACGCAGCCTACGCTCCATGAGTCGACACCTGAATGGAAGGGGCTGTAGCAGAATGAAGCTCGATGGAAACAGCATGCATCGACTGACCATGACCGAGAAGCACGCCTGACCATCTGCAGAAGTTTCATTCTGCGACCATATAGACAGACATTCCCTAGTTGGTCACCAGTGCAGATGAGTCATGAGTCCACCACGATAACAACACGCGGCACGCCTGGTGGCTACCTCGCAGCCTGGACTCACCATCTCAACCAAAGCATGAGCTCTTTCATCAGAGGATATTACCCCCGGTTTGTTGGATTCGCTGGGTATCCCGTTTTGAGAACCATTTCACTTTATGCAGACAAGCATTGCGAAGGTAACCATGGAATAGCTTCCAAGTTGGCCGCAGCAGTGCGGGAGAACGGTTCGAAAAGTCTCAAAATCTCCTTTCTCCGAAGGACCGCCCGAAATCACATTGCAAAGATAACTCGCCACGTTTCGAAGGAAACTGGCTGGACCACGACACCACATCTGTCGTATAGCCCTGACATTGCTCCATCGTACTATCACCTCCTCAGCTCCCTGAAGCAGCAGCTTGGAGAGAAAAGAGTCAGTAAATGCAACCACCCCAAAAACGACCTCTCCGAACTTTTCATTCCACAGCTCCATTCATTCTGGGAGGAATGCATCCATTCGCTCCCTAGCAAGTGGATGCTTATCAGTGATTATGATGGTGGTTACTTTTTTGATCAATCGTTTTTAAGAAAAGAGAAAACTTGAAGAAATCAACGTGTCGAAATTCGTGTTAGAAAATATGGGTCAACCCAATAGTACATAGTGCTAATGCACACGACCAAGAAACATGTCATTATCTTTGAGGAAAAACGAAGTACATGCATGATTATCTTTCAGCACCGGCCAGGACAAGTCGCAAGGCTACACGCTTAGTAGGGGTTGGTGAGTTTGTCGACGATTCTTCCTCGGCAGATGAGCGAAACAAGAAGTGGCAGGGAGAAACATGTGAAAATGGACAGTAACATTGCGCGCCCACTGCCACCCCAAACGTCGGGGAAGGGTTACGTATACGCCGATATTCTGAAGTTTAAGGGCAGTGGTCAACCGGAAGGCTTGGTGATTCAGCGTTTTGTAGTGTTCTCTGGGACTCTCGCACACACACACTATTACAGCATCTCTGCTTTCTTTCCTTCTTTTTCGAAAGGCTTAGTCCCAGCAATGCGCTTTTCTGTCTGGACTCGCACTCGTTGGTTGACCGCTGCCCCGTAACGAACTTATAATCTTCCTTTAAAGCAACAGTCCAGGCAGGGTTTCAACTACTTGGTCATTAGGCGGTCAAAACATGCCCAGCCCAACTAAAGTTTATAGGAAATGTCTTTAATTTCAAAACCTACCTCTAAAATGCGCTGGAAGGGGTCGAAGTCCTCTTGGAGGGGGCGGATCACCCATAAAGAGGCGGATCGCCCAACATACGCTGTGCAGAGTCCGCGCTTGACTAGCGGTCGTTGCGGGACCGCCGCGCTGTATGAGGTCGATTCCATAAGAACGCAATTGAAGCGCTTCAATTTCGATTGCTGGCAAATAGTTATGTATTTGCAAGCATGCAGCTATTTGCCAGCAGTTGCAATTAAAGCGCATGTACTACGGGCAGGTTCGGACAACTCGTCCAACACACGTCTCCCTAAACGGCAGGGCATGTCCCTGTCTAAGCCCCAGTTGGGCGTTTTCTTCACTTTTTCTCTTTACGTTCGACCACTTTTCACCTACAACTTCCATATAGGTGCTTTTGGCCCGCAAATTCGTTCCTGGACTGTTGCTTTAAAAACAACATTCATTGCTGCAAGGCGTCCTTGCGACACCGTATTAGGAGGAAGCACTAACAAGGGAGGTCTTTCAGGGCAAGGTGCGCTTTTTCAAAACGGTTTTGTGCATATTGTAGGGCCGCATGTAGGGAACGCAGAACCATGTCATTTTCGCTGAACGGTTATAGCAGTACCAGAAAAAGAAGCATAAGGTACTGTTAAGGGTTCGATCCCCCGGCGAACTAATTTTGCATTTGGGTTGGCGCCTACGGTTTGGTGCCAAATCGCGCTAAATATCAAAATCAGATGTCAAATTCATCGTCAGGACCATTTTGAAGCCAACAAGTGGCCGCCAACCTTGATTGCAAAATTTAGTCGCCGCGGGGGATTGAACCATCAAGAGTATTATTCACCACTTTTTTGGTACTACTAAAACCGTTCAGCGAAAACGAAACATGGTTTTGTGGTCCATACATGCGTCCCTACAACATGTACTAAACCGTTTCCAAAAAGCGCACCTTGCCCTGAAAGACCTCCCTTGT